TCCATACGTCCTCTACAACCTTGACCCATTCCGTGGGTTGTCTACCCCTCTTTTTGTTTGCCCACTTGGCCTCCCATACAATTCTCGGCAACCTCTCCTCTCCCATCCCGCACATGCGATACTGCCAGGTCAGCTCGGGGGCGCGATAAAAAAAGAGATCCGAGGAAAAAACATTTCAAAATCGATCGCACACGGTGCCGTATCTCCGACTAACCGCTTATTAGAAGGTGAACATTAACCTCACAGAAAGACTACTTGCGCTCGTTCGAGAAATATCCTCAGTCGAAAGGGACGTGTTGAAGTCTTTTCAGTACAAGCTGGGCCAGCCAAGAAGCTAACACAATGGTTGAAAGCCAAATACACATAAATTTTAACGAGTTGGAACCTGAAAGTTTGACATGTGGTTCTTATTTCAGTACAACAAATACAACTGCTAGCCGTACTTAATATTTTTTGTTTCTTGTCATGAGGTAGCCCCACTATAGGAAAAATGCGAATCCTACTGTTGTGTATTGGAGGACCAAAAAGAAAATATTAGCAAGTACGGCTAGCAGTTGTAATGGTTTTAGCAATACAAACCACATGTCAAAAAATTCAGATTCCAACTCTAAAAAAACGTGATGTATTTTGCGATATCCTCGCATGCCCTTAACTATCTTGTTCTTTGTATCGGATTATTGTCGAGGCCATAACTCTTGATGGAATATGATGTGAGCCTTGCGACTACCATCATTTGTTTTCGCAATGCTTTCAGGGAAGTGCACACCAAATTTCACCCTATTCTGTGAAACTTTGTTAGTGCTGATTTCAGTTTCGAACGTATCCCCCACCACGCCGCCAATTGATCGTGTAATACCTAAATCAACTCGGATTCGAAAAATTCTGGTATCTGCGTTTTCCCTATATTCTTAATGAGAAACCACCAAATGTCAAGCCTAATTTCGTGGAAACGACAACATCAGACGCGAAAGAACGAAAGTGAGCTTCTTGGCTGGCCCAGCTTGTAAGTGGATTGAAACCAACTGGAGACGTGGCTTGTTTTGATTTTGTGTAAGCCAGTCATCAGTAATGCCAGTTGGAGCTAAGAACAAATGCATCTGTATAGGCGGATACATTCTTAATTTTTTGTGGAATCTGGCCTTCTCAGGGAGCACGGCGCAGTGTCGTTGGACAACTTGCTGTTTTTAGAGAGTACCTCGCTGCTGTTTTAGGCGACTTGAAAATAGACTACAGCATGTACAGCTGTAGGACTGTTATACATGTACACGCACCTCAATTTTTTTTTTAGTTTCAAAAGTTGGAATTGTACTGTACTAATCGGTTGTTTGTGCTGCTCGGGAAACCGTGCGGAGTATGTTAGGTTTCCCTTCGGGAGTTAGGTGGCTTGCTTACCGGGGGCGATGCAAGAGGACAAGGTCGATGTCATCGCGGTCACGTCGTTGCATGTCAAACGGCATGACGTTCGGTAGTGTGATGAGTGCCGGTTTTGCGTACAACCTGCAGAATTTTGCCTGGAAGTTTTGTATCATGTGCGGAGTATTTTTTTCTCTCGTGACTCTTCGCGTGTGCTTGAGTGTGTGTGTGTGCTTACAGGCTAGCGAGGTCTTTACTGCAGATCCTACTGCTGTACTCCGCTGCGTTTGATCACTCGCTATGATGGTATTCGTGTTGCCTATAGTCTGTGGGACTTGCGTGTGTTGCGCGGGGATGACCCTGTCTTGTGCCAAAGCATTTTTTTTCGTATTTCTTGCAAGACTTTCTTCGCGCGGAACACGTCCATGGGTGCAGAGCCAGTTTTGTCGTACTTGCGCGTCAAGCACAAGCACACACACGTACAAAAAACACAGAATGACTAATGCTTGTTCTGCGTGTTTTGAAGGTACACCCCACGCAGCCAGATCCGACGTGCCACCACTTCAAAGCGCGCATGCATACGTATCCATAGATGCGTCGATGGAAAGCTTTCGACATGAGTTTTTTTCGCGCCTACCTCGTTTTCTTGTTTTTCTCACAACGATGACTTTGTCTCTACAGCCACCATTGAGGCTACAGCGTCTTGTTGTGTTATTTTTGTTGGATCCTCCATGGAGCCCATGTTCTTGAGGCTACTCACTATGAAGAAGAACGAGACGAGGTGTCCCGTTGGTCCTGTGTAGGGAGACGAACGAACGGGCCACTTGATGTTCTTGATGCACGATCGCGTAGGAATGGGGAGGGATGTTGCAACCCTGTACAGCACAGCTGATCCACACCCTTGGAAGTTCGTCTTTGCTTTGGGAGAGAAACGTGTCCACTAATCTCAAAACTCTCTCAGTAGGCACGCAGATAGGATGATGTGGGGTACGCCGTTAGAGGTATTGCCTTCCCGCCTAGTACTCTCCACACACGGTACACACACCCCATTATGTTAGCAGCTGCCCTCTTCAAACACATCTCCTTAACGTTGTCTCTGGTTGGGAGTGAGTTTCTTGCGGTAATACTCCCACGTTTGGAGGTGGTACTGAACACATGTAGGGGGGGGGGGGGG